TTTTTTAATAAAGATTAAAAATAATTTTTTAAATCAAATTTATCTTATGGTGTAAGTACATACTACAGTACTGACTTACCCGGAGCAACGTTTCCGACTACATATTTCTTTCAATTTTCTATTATTTACATAAAAGATGGTCGGTGCGGCGAGATTTTTATTATTTATATACAGTAAAAACGTTGTAGGTACTTAATTATAAAAAAAATCATTCTGTTCACATATTTATAAATATTATATGCTATTACTAAAAAAACATCGAATAATGGTCCACATGAAATTTTAACTTACAATAAAGCATTTACAACACCATCACTACATATCTAAATAATAAAAAGGTAAATTTTTAAAATAATATTTTGGAGATAAACGATATTAAAATAAGACAGATATTTCAAGTTTTCTTTTCAATTACTGTGACGGATTACAATATATTAAATTGCGTTTGTACAAAACTTGTGCAAAATTGAATGTATAATTCTAAACACGGTATGCAACAGGAACATATTTCGTATTGTTTGCCGCAAACAACTTGAACAAAATTAATATTTATTTATTGACAAAGTTTGCGCAGTAACAATTTTACATGTTTCATGGTATTAAAATAATGTTCAAGTTATTTTCCGTCATCTATACATCTGCAAATAAACCAACTGCATCGAAGAAGAGTGCTACCCAACTTTAGTAATAAGTATGTACTTGTTTGTTAAATTAAGTATCAAGTAATGAGATTTCTGTCTTATTTTTTCACTGGATAATAATAAAAATCTATGTCTTTTAAATTCTTGAACAGTCGCCTATACACTAAGGGGATGTAAATGCTATTAAAAATACATTCTATAGCATATTTATAATGGATAGTTTGTGTCAATAATATTTACGAGTATGTATGGTTGCGTATTTATTATGAGGGCGACTGTACCTTAGGTAAATATTTGAACTAAACATTTCTTAATAACTAGTATTCAAAGCACATTTTTACAATTCACTATAAAACGTTACAGATATTACAAATGAAGACAACATTAATTATTGTAGGTTTTATAATAAGATTTGGCTCAGGTTGTGCGTTGTTATTCATAAAAAAAAACGTAAACATGATAATGAGTCTAGATACTACGCCTGATTCATAAATCAGGCGTAGGTACAGTGTGTAATTATTAAGGCCATTGACACGTAATAGTAATGTAGATGGCAACGTGGAAATAAAAGTTTTCTTTTTTTATTAGAAAGGAAGTAGTTGCTTTGGGAAATAAATTCTCTGGTATTAGAAAAAAAAAATGAAGCACTATATGGATAAAAAATATCCATTCTAAATGATTCTAATTTATTCGGTCGATCATCAATATTGAAAAAATTATAGGATCGAAATATCGGGCGCGTTTATAATTATGTAATAGTTGAATGTCATGGCATGATTTTATTATAATTAATATTCGTAATCAAAGAAAGGGAAATGTATTAACAAATTAAAAATAAATTTATGCCGGATCGTAATAGCGCTCATTGTACACCTTCATTCTTTGTCACAACAGAGAAGGTGTATTAATTTTTTATATTTTTTAAGTGTTAAATATTTTATAAATTTTTGCCATTTTTAATAGGTAACTTTTTAACTAAAATGGGAACAAATACAGTAAAAAAATAATAATAAATATTTTACTACTCTATGCGATAAAGAAAACACTGTCTATTTTTATTAAAAAAAAAAAACTGTCCTATAGAATATTAAATTAACAACAAAAACGGAACTTAGCATTACGATATTCTTATTAAAAATATGTAATAAAATACACTATATTTTTACGGAAGGACTAAAATATTTAAATATAATCAGCAGTTAATATTACAATCATCAGTAAATTAAATAACATTGGAAGTTTTCCTTATCAATCTAAGAAACGAAGAGCTTCGAGCCCACAATAAATATATATAATTATTTATAACTCTAAGTTAAAACATATCTTAAAATTCAAATCATGGAAAAATTGGCACATTTTCAATACAAACCTAATCTTATATATAAGTAATATGACGTGGTTATACATTAGGTACTGTCATATAAAGTAACACGTAATAAGAATATATACTTTATTCATGTTTCAGAAAAATATAAGCTACAATTATAATAATGTTATTACAAATACAATTTTTTTCAAGCTATTAACATATTGGAATAAACTACAAACTTTTTATAACACCGACATTTTATGGACATCAAAATTTTTATAACATAATCATTTATAATGATACTTTTGGGAAAATTACATAACTGCATAAATAATATTAAACAGTCACGTCCAGTCTGCTAAAAGAGCAGGAATCTCTGACTGTCTACTTCATAAATAAAATAATATGCCTCTAACAGCTTCTTAGCTCAAAAAACCACATAAAACTTCCAAATGAATTGATTTATACTACTCTATCTAGTCATGCCTTCGCGTCTATCTGTTTGACAATAGAATATACGTACATGGTCTCATTATGTATACTAACACATTTGGTTCCACATAAACTACCCAACTTTAATACCCATTGCCAATCAGATACAACTTAAGAAGATGATTTAATTCATTCCACACTGAAGCTTGCACAAAGGCTACAGCATTATCGATGAAAGCAGGCGTCAGTGTGAGATATTTTTAATAGGTACTATTTACTAAACGATGACCCTGTCAGTCGTGGACTGCGACCGAGGCGCCTGCGGCCGGCCCCGGGATCAATTTCTATCTACGAAATTTAGAATCTACGCTCTACGCACGTAGTTATCCTAGGCACTGCCTATGCCTACCTATATGTCGCCGAATAGACGGCGCTACACTATCAGTAGAAGTAGAAGTAAACTTACACGACCTTTTTAGAAAATTTGGCAGTTACGTGTAGGTGAACGAGTGAAGACTAGGATCGGTAACGATTACATGGATGAAATATTAATTCGACGTCACTAGAGTAGGGGCGGGTCCGCTAAACTATAACTACACAGGACCCTCTCGTAAGTCTAAAAATAACACGAGCGTCTAAGTGAACGATAGGTAGAGCGCGAGATCGCGGACGTCGAACGGGCGGCAGCGCGCAGTGGCGGCGGCGAGCGCGCGCGGCAGCGGCCACCGCGGCGGCGAGAAGGCACGAGGGGGGTGCGCGGCGGCGGCTGCGGCGCGGCGCGGGGGCCAGCGCCGCCCTCCGCAGTCAGAGCGGGAAGCAGCGCGCCGCACGCCGAGGCGGTTCGCTCGCGCCGCGTCTTCGCCGCGCTGTCACCGTCGACCGTACGCTGCTCGCGTCACCCTCGCTACCTCCACTGCGCCCGCCGCTGCCACCTGCACCACCACATAGGCGCTCGGGCTCGATCGGTTCCAATTTATGCATAGACGGCCGGCTAGACAACCTGGCACCGTCACCCACCGGTGTCGATAATGCTCTCTCCGATAACATATCGTCGTCGAGATCGATGCGCCCGAGTCTTAGAGCCAGTACGTACTCGGAGCGCTCTATGACGCTCGGCACCTCTTCCTCGACAACAGTTGTGTCCGCTACGGTCGAGTCGGCTGCTGCAGATTCAGCTCTGGGAGAATCTCCCGGGACTGTATTCGAGTGTCGAGTGTCAACTGACGATGGTGAAGATGCTTCAGGTGGACGTCGTTCAGGCGTTGTAAATACTGAATCGGATGCCCAGCTACGCGTTTCCGAATTTTGACGTAACGTATCATCCATGCTGCGCTGAGAAGTGCGGCGGCTAACGCGAGGGCTCTCATCGTCGATAGCCCGGAAATCGAGAGCAGTTAAATCAAAAGGACCACCGCGACGTCGAGAGCTTTCTCGTCTAAATGAAGGTCTGTGAGAAGAGAATGCAGCATCATAAAGTTCACAAAGACTAGTCCGATCCGAGTGTGGTTCCTCGTAGAGTGTGAGGTTACGAGTCTCGGTAGCGTCAGAGGGCGTTTCATCACGATTGCTAGTGACTTCACTGTGCTCAGAAATATCAAAAGTAAAGCGTGCCTCAAATCTATCAGGACTCAGTAGTGGCGCGGACCGAGAACAATCGTTAGGTTGGTTTTCATCCGAATCCAATGGTATAGGACGAGGGGCAGAGCGACGAGGCGATGTCTCTTCCGAATCAGTGGAACGATCAGATCGTGGAATTTGACATCCATGGCGACGTGCTAGCGCTGGTTGAGAGCCACAAGGTGCGCGACGACAACAGACTCGCTCGTGACGTACATCCGATCCACTACTGCCAGTAGACTTTGAATGTGGTGGACGTCGCCGTCGATAATCCTCTCGGCCATATAGAGATGTGAATTCTTCTGAACAAAATTTCTCAAATAATTCCTGTGAGCTGAGTCGAGTCGAGCCTGTTGCATTGTAGAATGCCTCAGTCGGTGAACGGTCGGTTCGCTCGTAAAGTGCACTTGAACTTGCTCTCTTAGACTTATCCATTAGTCCAAATTTATAGATTCTTGGCAGGCGACGTTCAAAAACTCCTTGGGAGTGTGCACGAGCAGGCCCGCGAGGCGTGACCGGTCCATCATGCCGATCAACAAGAGCGCGGTCAGAGGAAACACCGCGAAGCTGCGAACGCAGATCTGGTGGCGGCATTACGGTGGGGGGAGGGGATGTGGCGAACTCCGGTTCGTATTCGTCCTCATCTGGCGTTTCGGCCGATGGCCCAGAACGTTCGAGCGATACGCGGCCGCATTCACATTCATCGTGCTCATCGCTTGCGTCACCCTCGTCGAATGAGGGGGCGCGCGGACCGTGGATAAAAACGCGACGGCGTTCTTCGGCGGCAGCCTCATCGTCCTCAAGGCGGATTGAACGGCGCAGAGGAGGGCGTTCACGACGCGGCCGACGAGGTTGCGCTTCTACGGTAGCAGCATGTGGTAGAGGCGGCCGCGTGGCTGGCAGCAAGCGGTCGAGCGATAGGCCACGGCGAGGACGCGCAGGTCGCGAACGTGTTCGTTCACGCGGTGCCGCCGATGGACTGGTCTCCTCTGGAGTAGTTGGTAGTGCTGCACCGCGCCCGAATTCGATGAACCAGAGTTCGTCTTTGAGTTCGCACTCTCACTTCTTTTCATTCATGTCTTTATTTAAGTAGTGAAGCACGTAATGTAGCACGAGATCGTAGCAGTATTTGTATTCAGTCTGGAATAAAGTTACGCATGAGTTAGTTTTCACAGAATTTTATGGGAACTAGTTTTTTTTTATTTGATATAGGTACTGACCATATTTTCAACCAGTTGCGGTCTATGCCGCCGTACTGTCTTGACCGCTTGAAAAACATCGACCTCGCCATGTTGAATTACTTGTTCGATGCACGCGTTGGCAGCACAGTAAACACCGGCACGACTACGTCCGTCTCTGTTACAGTACATGAACGCAAATTAGATGATGTTGATCAGAGTCACTCTATGGTGTTAAGAGTTTTTAGGGCTCTTTTTTATACATAAATGCCTCTTATCATAAATGACCTCATAAAGGACCTTATCGAGCGAGGGTTTTATGTGCTCATCGAAGCACGAAAGCTTCAAGTGATAATATTTTTTAAAAGTGACTAAATATAAATTTGAAAACTGTTTACCATCACTGTCAGTAATAAATTTTATAAGCATTTTTGTAAATTATCTAAACTTAAATTGTATGTAATACTCACGGTGATACAACGCAGACGGGCCCATAATCTGTACGCTGCCGCCACCGTTCTACCATGTTCATGAGCTCGACCAGCGAGTTGGTGGACGAAGGCACCTTATGGCCCATGGGCCAGCACGTCAATTGGAACAGCTGTACGGTTTTTGGTGGAGCTTTAACGCCAGCCATTAACTCGGTGAGTGATACGATCTGTTTATAAAAAAAAGATTTCATAATTGTTGATGATAATTGATGTTATAGTGTATTTCTAGATTAATACCAATAAAAGGTAAAGTTTAGTAAGTAGCTATATAGGAGTAGCTAAGTAGGAGTATGGAGCGCGTTTATATAGAAAATACTTATTTAACATCAATTATTATTATAATTTCGCTGGCTTCGTGCTAGTGAATGTTCGCGTGAGTGAATATTTATATACTTATCGTGCATGTTAAGTTAGGATCATCATTATCAGCATTTAAGTATCCACTGTTGAAAATAGGCCTCCTCCTTGGGTAGTTTTGCCTATAGTTGTTACGCTTGGCAGGCGGGTTAACATTTGCAGTTAGACTTTGGTGATGATTTAAGAAAGATGGTGCTGCCCAACTCTGAATCATTAAACTCAAAAAACCGACTGCTTTTATGACTCCTATAGGAAAGAAAAGGGTGGTCCATTCTATGCGGGAACCAAACGGCTGACTTGCTGTAAGAAAGGGTTATCGCTTCATCATCTATTGGGTTTGTCCTATACTGTTTATACCTGTATGAGGGCGGGGAGGGGCGGAGGGGGTCTTACCTTTTTATTGATCCTAAATATCCAAGTTTTGATATTAGTGTAGTGGTTATGGGATACGTGGTCTATCGTGAAAACTGGTCCGTACTTCTTCGAATGTCGACCCTCGGGCCAAAATGGAGGGAATTGTTGCTAGAAAAAATATACGTTGTTATTCATGTTATTTGGTGAATGTGACTTAAATTTGTCTACTTTGTTTAATGACACTGAACTTAAGTCTAACAATTTGAACATTAAAAGTAAATTCTTAAAAAAATAATAATACATCTTTTTGAGACATTGCAATTGCAATAAAATTGACAAAAAATAAAATAATAAAATATACTATAATAATAAGAACTCAATGTATTACTTTAATTATCTATGCAGTAGTTATTTGATATAATTAGTAAATTGAGTATTATTACAGTATATTTTTAAGTGGATATGCACTAGAAAAGCTACAAATTGTTAAGAGCGTGTTTTGCTTGAAACGGTTACATGAAAAAATTACTTACAGAATTTTTAGGCGGCACGCATAAAACTACCACAGCGGCGCATTCGTAGTCATACACTAAAGACCAGAACTCGCCTTGTGTTCTAACCAGAGGCCATTCTGTGACTATATACTCCCGAGGTTTCGTGTATCCCTGCAAAATAAGAGAAATATTATAATGTTGAATAATAACTATCGCGAGTAATACTATATTGTAATTATTTATTCCGGATTATGTGCTACTTGCGACATAGCCTTCAACCACGCTCATAAATAAGGGCTTCTCTTGAGTTCGAAACTAGTTGGGCATCTCCGCATATAAAACGTGAGTAAAGTTTAGATAAATAATTACAATAGAAGTGTTCTATATATTTAATTTATTATATTATACTTAGGATTGAAAGAGACCTACAGATAGGGAGCAGCTACTCTCTATAAACAATCTCTCAACCTTGAAAAAAAGAATTTACCAAAACGATTTACAATTGATAGCGTTATGAAGTAACAAACGTAAAAAAATATAGACATTCAGATTCTCAGAATTGAGAATCTTCTTCTTTTTGAAATCAGTTAAAAAGTATTATCATTAAGTACATATAATAAAAAGGTTCTAACCACGATTATTTATTTATAAATGAGAGGGAGACTTTGTACAAAAGTCGATTGCTTGGGTACCTCTGTCCCATTCGTGTTTCAACCGTGAAGCAACTGTGTTTGCATGGCTGTGTTTTGGTTTAAAGGGGTTTGGTTTAAATATGGCGTGAATTTACTGGGTACAGAGGAATAGCACCTGTGTCCTCAGGAATGGCAACGCATGGGGGGTATCATGGGCGAAACCGTATACTCTGTTATGTTCATGGTACTGCTCATATCTATAGGAGACGGTTACCACTTTCCATCAGGTGGGCCGTCAGCTTGTTTGCCATTCTAAGTTGTATAAAAAAAAAATTTAATCAGCAGATATATATTTATAATGGATATTGATGAAAGAGGGTAAACTGATATGCTCAACCAATGGGCATGTTTTTATCCGTTTTCCATCAGTTAAACTGTGGTCATGACATGATTTCTAACAGAGTCGAAATATCGGGCTCTTTTAAATAAATAAATAATCATGTTAATAATTAAATATATAATTTTAAGTTTAAAAACAACCGCCCAAAAATCTAAAAAGCTTTATAAATAATGATTTGTTTACAGTCTTGTGTTTGAAAACAGAATTTATAGAATACAAAGTAAAATAGATACTTGTAAGCTCGGTTTCTCGAGGTTAATGGGGTCCCAGATTCGTTTACAACACGGTTCAGTTTAGGAAACAAACTATTCCAAATTTGTTTGGATTAAGTAATATAATTTAGGTAAACATGTTGAATCGAGACAATAGCGTTTACTCTACTCACGTCCACGAAGACTGCGTTGATGTAATCCGTAAAACTGTTTCCTTGGAACGAAGTTAAGTATGGACGAAAGTTGTCAGCTGAAACAAGAACATATTTTTTTACTTCATTTTCCTTATGTGCAGTCAATTTCAGAACTATAAGCAATTTTGTTATATGCATACACCTATACTGTGTGTACACCAGCAGCAAGACTATTAGGATTAATGCGATATTTATAAGTATCAATTTCTATATAAGAACTCTTCTTTTAGGCTCGGGATAATACCGGTCCAATAATAGTGTGGTCAATTGGTTTGGTGATTACAAAGGCACTCTGTGTACTTTGTTTTTACAGTAATTCTTTTTGTTTCGTTTCGTATTGTATCTTCTCTCTTATCTTACGTATTTATTCCTTTATAGATGTGATATTGTCCTCAGGATAACACTTTGGGCCCTTTCGTAGAGCCACTTCCCCAAAGTTGTATGCCATATAACCATATAGGTTTTAAGATGGACTTGTAAAAGGAAACAAGAACATGAACCTTTTTATTTTTTCGTTGGCTTTGGAATCAATCCTTATCTAATCTAATGTTACAAAGAGGAAAGAGTTTTGTTTGTAATGGACAAACTAAACAAAATACTAAACCGATTTTTTAAATTCTTTCACCTATAGAAAGCTACATTAATATAAAATGTATTATGTTAAAAAACAAACCGAGTAAAACCAGACTTGAGCAGAACCAGTTTTGCTCGGTTTGTTTGTTTGGTGGTATTAGTTGACATTAAAAATCTGTGAGTATGTTTGTTATCTCTTGGCACATTTACCATTTAAACAGTTATCAAAAAAATTGATATACATGTAGTATTTGGGATAGAAAAGAACAAGTTATTTTCATCCTGGTTAATTAAGATGTCCCGGTTATGCGGACGAAGCACGGCTAAATATTAATCCATTGTACTTTCTATATATTTAGTCGATCTCGAGTCAAGCCTTATACCCGAAGTATTGGATTTAATCTAACAGGAATCCAGGACAAATGGCAAAAGAAAAAGGGCCGAAACGTAAATAGGTTCCATGTTTGCACAATGCGGCATTAAATACAAACCCGATGTATCAATAAATGGAACTCTAGTTATTATTTATTCCAGGGTGTATTTTTCCAGGATATTAATATTATTACAGGATGAAATAGAATCTCGTGGTTTCACCCGTGCTCATACTGTAATGTTGAATACTCTTTTGGTCTAAATCCTCCTAAAAAAGTGAGGCATCAAATATTTTTTAAATCTGACTAGTAGTTTCAGAGATTAACGCGTTCAATGAAACAAACTTTTTCTCTTTATATATTAGTAAAAATTAGTTTTAGATTTATGTGCCCTAGGTATATTGATTCATAGGTATAAAAAGTAGCCTAAGTTCTTCGATACTACCTCAAATTTTATGATGATACAGGTAACAGACAAACAAACCTACTCACATTTACAATATTAGTAAGGATTTGATTTGATTATCTAGTTTACTGCTTCGGCCTTTACTTTCTCTATACAGTGTAACGATTCACTGATAGAGGTTGCTTCCAAGCAATAAATCCTCTTTGTATATATTGTATGTGTGTGTTTTATTGTGTGTAAAAGAAGAATAAATATTAATGCAAGAGAAGAAAAACTCCAAATAAAATCCTGTATCAAGCTGCCCGGAAATTTAATGAGTCAACCAAACGTTTTTAAATTGACACACGTATTTGGAATCGGGATTTTTTTTCAATTCTCAATTTATAGGCTATTTTTTATCTTGATTACACTGTAGCGTTTCATTCATGTAGATGTTATATTTAAATATCCATGCATCGAAGTTCGAGTTCAATAGAAAGTTTCGAGCCGGTATTTTACCAGTCACCTATGAATAATTAAATAGTTCATAAATCTACATTAAATTATCCTGGTATTTTTGAAGAGTTCTGAGAATTACCAGTATTAGGAATACCAAAATTTTACACATTAGCACTGACTATAACTTACGAGGTACAACAAGAACGTCTCTGTTCTTCTCCCTGTTGTCTCCTCTGTGGCCTCCAGCGCAGTCTCCTATAGTAAATCTTGGTGTCTGTTTGCATATCTGCTGGTATTCCTTTTGATACTCGTTCAGTTTAGATACTGGGTCTCTTTGCGATTTCTGTTTCAGTCTTTGTGACAATTCCGACACGGGGAACCATGACACTCCGCAAACGACATGTTCTTCTAATGTATCATAAACGAATTTATATTGTTCCTAAAAATAAACCATAAGTTAATGCATTTTTATTAATAAGTAATAATTTTTATACATATAATTTCGAAAATATAGGCCATTCTTTAATTATACAATAAGAGGGGAACTGCTTGCGTATCTCTGTTCGACTTTTTTTTAATGAACAGCTCTGCTTGCATGGCCGTTTCACATAACATGGGAAAATATGTGTGTGTAAGGTCATCACAGTGTTTTCTGTCATGTCCATGATTCTGTTTATGTCTATAGGCGACTGCGACCACTTTCTCTCAAGTGAGCTCGGTTACCATTTCAAGATTCATGGTTTAAACAACTTGAAACTTAAGGGAAACTCTTATTTTAAAGGGATAAATAACATTTTAGTCCATAAGACCTGCAAGGTATAATGCATACTACAGCATAGCCATCATAGTAATCTGTTACACTTATTATTGACGAATTATCCTAGTATAAGAGAAGACTGTAGTAATTCCTTATAATTACATGCTGCACTAACCTCGTTTTCTATAAGGCCTTTTCTAGATTGTCTCAATTTCTTCAAATAACCGAAAACATCGAAGCAGTCTTCTTCTTCAGCCAATTCTAAGTTTGCATCTATTGCCAAATACACTCCTGATCGACCACCGCCATCACTAGAAATATTCAAAAAAATAAAGCAACATGATATGAAATAATAAATGATTATATTCTATTGAATAAAACCAAAGAAGGACTAAAGTAACGAATATTGTAAATTATTACCAAATGGGTATTTAAAGAGTTTTTAAAAACACAATATGCTATATATAGAAAAAGCGACTCTCTGATAAAGCTTATTCAGGGACTAATTTTTTCTTTGTCATTATGACTTCCGAAAATGTGGGAATATGTACGCTAAGTCAACGATATGATTTATGAGGGAAACCCGGATTTTCAATAACAGTTCTCAAACAAAGCAGAGCCTGCGCTACGGCTACGGTAACTCGTAGTACAAGAAATGTTTAGTTTGGTACTAGTTGACAATAGAACAACAGCCTTTTGTCGCGAAGACGGTAGGCCCTGGCAGATGACGGTCGAGTAAAGAACGTATGTTTGAGACCTGCATCCCCTGTATAAGATAGTCTGCATTCTCCTTAACGAGATGTTGACGACCTTATTTGTGCCTCTTGACAGAAACTTACTTGCAATGTACGACCATTGGACCAGCAGCCGGATTGGCAGCCAACCTACGCCCGACCACTGCTCGGACCCGTCTTCTAAACTCCAGGAGTGCATTGCTGAATGGACACGTATGTGAATGCCATTGGGTGTAATGAAACTGGAGAATAAACCGTTCTTCTACCACCACCTATAAAAAACAGATAAGGTAATTGTCGTTTTAAGTCTAGAATAAGAGTTTTATAACAGTGTCTCTATTTTGAACAGCCAAGTTGTAATATCTATTAATATTAAAAATGTGAAAGTGAGTTTGTTCGTTCAATAAGAGGTCACTATTTATATAGTGTAAAAAGAATATATACTCGTAGAATTCAAAAAAGTAATCTAGACATGTTTTGTAGTTGGATCATGTAATGACATGTATTTTCTTTTATTTATTTATTTTTTAATTATTGCTGAATTGTTATATAGATAGTAAATGTTATTATTAAATTTTTTTAAAACTATTTCTTTAATAATAGCATTTGACAGTTAAAATGTATAACTTTGCATGCTTGTATGCGGGCTGGATATGTTGGATAAATGCTGTAATATTAAAATCCTTTGTAATAGTGTATTCAGCAAATAAATAGTTTAATTGGATTTGTCGAATCGTTATGAAATTTGGTGTACTTGAAATGGACATAAGCTACATTTAATCTTGATAAAATAATATATCTCGGTGGCGCGAAGAAAGTCGCTGTTAAAAATTAGTATACAATAAATATGGTATGATACCTATTTATGATATTGTTTGAGCCGTGATGATTTATTATGTAATAATAGACAAAAAAGACAAAGGGATAAAGTGATAAAAACATGATAAGGAATGACTAACCCTTATAGATAAATAATGGCACTTTTTGAGAGAGAGAGAGAGAGAGAGAGAGAGAGAGAAATACTTACATTCTTTTCACTTTTGTATAATCTGAATGTCCGTATGTGAAAGTTAGCAAGCTCTTCCTCTTGAACTATTCCGACACTTATATCACCGTATGTCTCATCTTTTTCCTTATTTGGAGGCCAATATTGAACGCACATAACCTGGTAACAAAGAAAATATATTATTAAACAGCTTCAAGCCTGCTACTTCGTACGACTGAACTTCAGAAATAGGAAAATCAATGAAAGACTAATTTCTTTTAGATGGCGTATCAGGATAAAACATACACCAGTTTTAATTAGACCTTCAGAAATATAACTGTAAAAATCGCATCCAATTTGATGCAGTAGTTTTTACGTGATGCTGGAACAAACCAAACATATATACAGACATAAATGCAGGCAGACAAACAGACAGGCAGATAGATAGACTTTTGATAAGGCTGACAGATTGGTATCTATTAGTCTTATTAAAACCCATCATATTATTTTTTCTTAAATATCTCCTAATAACATCGTCAAGTAACAATTTTATTATATTAATAAGATAATTAATTTGTATCTCATAAAGAGCAATCTCTTTGAGAATATAATATTCTATTTATTGGCAATATTGCTAGTTGAAATAAAATGTAATATTATTGTATAAGCATATTAATTTGTTACAGTTTCGACTTAGCCCAGGCGAGCTGACGTGTAGATACTCGTAAATAAGTAGGTATATAAATATATATGTAGATTAAAGATAGTACCCGCGGTCGTCATTCTACGCATAAATAAGTCAAAGACACATCAAAGTGAATGTAGGTTTTATACAAACCCTTTAATATTATATATAGGAATATCTATGAAGATATTGCTAAACAAATCATATCTACTTCAATAAGTAAACGAATTTTGATAAAAGATTTATAAAATAAAATATTTTTATATCCACTAACTAACTAACAAACTAAATTTATATCAATTCATAGTCTAATTTAAAACAAAATTTCGTGTAGACAATGTTGCGTGGAAACCTAGAAATGAAACAAAAGTAAAATAGTGAATCCAATAAACGTAAATTGTCCTAGAAAGATTCAGATTTTAGATTCTCTTTATTACAATATTGTTAAAAATATATCTCGTGAAACGTGGCGAATTTTCCTTATCATTGGGTTTTATTTTAGTTGAGGGCGTATAGAGTTTTATAATCTAAAGAAAACGCGCGGCTGACGCGACGGCGCGCTCTCGACAAATAAAGTAAAAAATATTTGGCAAATTTTCTCTACTCACGACAAAGGTGGCATCGGTGGCTTTCGTCACACCGGGCCGCAACAAAAGTATAAAGGTTTTGAGAGTCTATCCGAAATTGCCATTTTATCCATCATACAGGATTTCAATACATGCGTTGATGTGGATTTACACAACACTATTCTGGGATTTGTTCAATAAATAATGTCGCTTGTACATTTATTGCTTTCATTTTATCGCAAAAAAATTTCCCATAACTAAATTAATATTAAGGAAAAATATTTTTCATTTCTATTACCACTTGTACGGTTAATTTTGAGTTTATTGTTATACTAGCGACCCGCCCCGGCTTCGTACGGATGTATTACAATATTTGTTTCTGTAACTTATAACCTGAGGGCCTACCATGAAATATTTTGCGAAATTTCGGGCACGAACTAAACAGAAATTTTATGCTAAAATTACATAATACATGCCGTTTAAAATTATTAAAAATGTTAAAATATCATTCCTCTGGACTATTAGGATAAGATTTATGATGAACGAAATGTTAAGCTTCATTTACTGGGTCGATTTTGGTACGAACAAAAACACGAAATTAAGTCTGAAAATTCGGATTTTCGTTTCATGGTAGACCACCTGTTCAACACATTTTCTAAGATTTTGAATTTCAACATATTCTCTAAGATTTTGAAATGATCGGCTTGACATTTTTCAAGCAGTTAATTTTACTTTCAACATTAAAATCATATTTTTGGCTGAGATATTAAACTTAGATATATATGGTGTCGCAGACTTTTTTTGTATTATTGTATTTAAAGTATTTAATTTATTTTAGTAATTAATATTTTTGCTATAGGCTCTATTCCTTCAGTTCAAACCGTTTAGGCTGGGCACGGCATTTTATTGAATTTTTGCCGACTTAAATTACATTTATTTGATAAATATTTATCAAAATAGAAAGTAGTCTATAGACTAACATACCTTTCTAACAGCGAAAGAATTTTAAGAATCGTATCAGTAGTACTGGAGAATACCCGAATATTTATACTATCAAATTTTACGTCTATATAATACTAGGAAGTAATTAGTAGGTTTGGTACAGTTGGATAGATTTACAATTGTAATCTATTTTATCAAGATTACTATTGTAATCTTATGGAGGAGACTCTTTATTGTTTCCTCCATAAGATTACAATAGTAAATTTATTATTTATTTTTTATTTACCCTAATGGGAGACAGGCGTGACAGATATGTATATATGTATGTATGTAAATGTATTATAAATACAAACAATTACGACAATAGGTATAGATTATTCATATGGTCTCTACTTCATGGTACAAATGCATAACACGAGTAAAGTCATATCGAAGCCTTGGATTTTATTTGTGCACTGACATACTCATACAAAGACAATGTTTTTGATTTGATATATGCAAAATTTAAATATTATTATAAAAAACTAAATTCATAGCATCAAGTTGTTAAATAATAAAAGGTAAAACACAAAGACCATGGAACGTAATTAATTGTTATAAAAGAGCGATTTCTCCTAAAGCAAGCAATTGTTGCTTAACATGAGATATCAAACCTTGTACCTGTTTTTAGTTTAAGAAATAAATAGATAGATAGACACTCTTTATTGTTTCCTCCATACGATTATAATAGTAAATTTATTACAAATACAAACAGTTATAAGAAAATATAACACTGAGAAAACAATGGGTGGCTTATCGCAAAAAGCGATCTCTTCCAGGCAACCTTTGGATGGAGAAGAATAATAATATTATTCACGGTTGGGTCTCACCTAACGTTACAGGTCGAATTTTTTTTTAAATAGCACGGGTTTGTGTTTCTTATGATCATTTATTTTTTGAAACACACTTGACCTCTTAATAGCAATCGACATTTGTACAAAGTTTCCCTCTGGTAATGATGAAAAAGGACATAACCTATCTTTTATTTAGGTTAATAAATATCGTCCGGTCAAACGGGCGAAGTCGCGCGTGAGCTCTAGTAAAAAGTATGAAAAATGCAGTTATAAATGAATGCATACGTGCACCGTAATATATAATCCAACCCACTATATCCCACCTACCCACCCCTCTTCCTCTTCCTGTTCACACACATTTGATCGGTATTCATGCGAATATGCAGTAATGCAAAAATATAACTATATATATATATATATATATATATATATATATATATATATATATATATATATATATATATATATATCTCAACCTTTGGTCTAAGAACCATTGAATTGTAAACATCTTAAACGGATTCAACGAGAGACGTCCCTCTGTTATTTACATACTGTTCTATTTACCTTTATATTCAAATACCATGTAGATATACAAATACGAATTAAATCCTTTGAACTTCGTCTTCTCCTTATGGGACATAAATATTAGGCTGTAGACATATTCAAGCAGTGTTTAAATTAAACGCTATTTATTAAACTTTTAATAAAATTAAGATTTATAATTGAAGTTTAGTGAAAGTATTGTGTTAAGGACCACCAATAGCTAAACTGATAATAATAAGGGGGAAAGGGATTGATGGTAATGGGATCTAACAGCCCTATTGATAATATACTTCATCAGGTCGGTCTCCACGCGATTCCCTCTGGACTCCATCTTGATGAACTCTTTATGAATTCGTCATTATGGGTGAACCCGTTTTATCCTCGTCTATCTCATCTCTCACTGGTGGCCTGCCAGCATATAACGTGACGCGGGCGGAGTTATCATTCCGTTATTATCCATTAAAAAAAAAAAAAACTGAAAATATTAGAATCTATACTCTATACTTTGCACTTTATTATTAAATATTTGATTATATTTCTGTTTTCTAAATGTTGTTTTTACGAGTTACAGTTGCAGCTGTTATGTGGATGAATTTCGCCTTTGCACGATATGAACATATCAGCTTATAACTTATTAACTGTCCACTATTGAACATAGGCCTTTCCATTTTGAAGGAATTTGCCAGTAGTTGTCACGCTTGGCAGGCGTTAAGCAATCGCAGTTAGGCTTTGGTGACGTTTTCAGAGGGACGCCCATCCCTCGACCATAAAATTTTCTTAGTTGCCTCTTACGAAAACCACAGGAAAGTAAGCCTTTATTGGCATGATAGTATATTTTTTATAAAATGTTTCAATGAAGATTAAATAACTTAATAGTAGAATATAATGATTAAATTGTAATATCGAACGAAAATTTTAGTTTTCGCTAATAAAGAATAGAGCTTCAGAATCGACCCCAGTATCTAATGAGGGAGATTATTTTGTCGTCCGAAAGAGTGTGTCTGAATTAGGCCACAGCCACACCATTTTTCGGCTATTGGCTATTCATTCATTAAAACTGCATCAGTTCATCCGAATGCTTTCTAAGAATAGAATTTTAAGTCTTTGTTTTAAGATATAAATAACTTGAGTTGGTGAGTGGCAGTACAGGTGTTTGATTCTCAAGTCTCGTTGGCCATCTCGTAAAGGATAGAACAAGTGAATTTCCTGCCATGACGAAAAGAAAAAAGTATTACTCCTTGTAAGACCCATTTTTTTTGGAAATATCTTCTCATTTCATGCTGCGCAATTGTGGAACAGGCTACCTTCTAACATACAGGATAGTCCCTCCATTACTTCCTTCAAGAAAAGATTGAAATCTCACTTTTTAACTAATAATACATGATGATACTATATACCGTGACATTATAGATAGACATGTATTAAACATATTACATTTTTGGCGAATAACGAATTTGCTAACTTCATTACCGAATTTCGTATCTACTATAATCGTATTTGACATTTATCGATTTGGGATGCCGAGGATTCTAATCTGCAGTATAATTAATAGGAACGCTGTTTGCATTAATGATATTTCTTATTGCTAATTCAAATTTCAGTGTAATCATG